AATTACCCATTATCTTTTGAATTTCCTAATTTTGATATAGTAATATCTCCTTGATGAGAGGGATTTTGCTTATAAATAAACGTATGGGTCCCTAACTCGAGGCAACTTCTTAAAAACAAGTACCGTATTATCATCACTGAAAAATTACCATTTGCGTTGGAAGAAGTATCAAAAATAGACTGAATAACTCTAAAAGTGAGCTTGTGAATGAAAAAGCTAAACATTTGCTATGACTAGAGGTTAGTGTTGTGATCTTTATTGAATTTTGATTTGGTGGGTTTATTTGCAGTGAAGAAAGATGCATTGTTATCAAATAATAATTGATATTTGCTCATATTTATTTATTTCAACTTCTACTATTATTCATTATTATGTATATATATATATATGTAGCTGTGAATATATTTAACATGTGGTATCAAAACGAGAATAATCTTTGTCTAGCATATTTGAGATATAATTCTAATTGTATATTTATAATTTTTTAATAGTATTTTAGAAAACTATTTAAAGAAATAATGAGCTAAATGCATTTATAATATATCTTTGTCATGTTTCTAAATTATTTGAATCTTCTATGGCATATATATTTGATTTGTTAAAATAAATATTTTTTGCCTTGTTTATATGCTTGAGCCCCAAAGTGAGTGTTTTTTTATTTTAAAAAAAGGGTCCATAAACTCTTCGTTTTTATGTCTTTGACCACTTCACCAAATAGGTCTATTTCCATGTTTGTTATGCAACCTAAGCATTTTACTGGGCTTATTTGATTAGATAATCTGGACTAAAATTTTGGGTTTGTAATCTGGACCAGAATAAAGAATATTGAGTTTTATCTTTTTATTATATTAGTCTGGGCCAAAGTACACAATATTTGGCTGAGCATATTTATATTATTGACTTGAGTCAAAAATAAATAAATATTGGATTTATTTTTATATAATTTATTTGGATCAAAATAAGTGGATATTGAGCTTAGTCTATTTATGTTTTTATTTGGGCTTATTGGTTATTAATTTGAATAGACTACGTGTCCAAAACTAATGGGCCAACAAACCTAAAAAAGGTAAACTCATTTAAATGAAGCTAATTTTGGATCTAATTTTGTTTTCTAGATCTAATTTATTTGACTAAATTAATCATGGAAGTAGTTTAATTAGTCAAAATTAAGCTCATTTATTTATTTATTTTTATTTGGTCAAGACATTATTAGTATAATAAATTAATTTATATTGTCTTGATTATTATAGTGATGTCATGTGATCATATATATTTAAATAATTGAGATTAGTCATAACATCTTAATTATGATAAGATATACATTAATATATATATTATTTGGATCACACCAAGTTTAAATGACATCATATTCTAATTAAACATGTTTATATAATTGTTTTACCCTACAAGGAAATTATTATATTTTCATGATTAATTAGGATGGAATAGAAATTATTTTATTTCTTAATTAGCCCACAAGTATTAGGAAATATTAATAATTTTTAGTTTCATCATAAAAATTAATGAATCATTATGTGTTAGAATCTTTGCCCACAGGTAGATTTTGATGACATGTCGATTCATGTATATTTTAATTTGTCTTACATTGGTAAGCTTATCTTTATAATTGATGGTTTATGCCTCATATATTATTAAGTAAGCATGTTTATTTACTTATTTATTTATCTGTAGTTGATCAAACTTTGATGGTTTCTAATGATAAAGTTTCCTACTTGAGTGGTGATAATTATAAAGGGTGGAAGGAGAGTGTTCTTCTCCATCTAGAATGCTTAGACCTTGACTATGCTCTTCGTAAGGATGAGCCTACCGTACCTGTGAGTACTAGTACTCTAGCTGAGATAGCATTATATGAACGATTGGAGTGGTCAAATCGTTTAAGTATGATGTTTATCAAATCTCACATTATGACTAGTATTCGTGAGTCGATACCTAATTGTAAGAATGTCAAGGATTTAATGAAGGCTATTGATGAGCAGTTTGAGTCTTATGATAAAGCATTTGATAGCACCCTAATGAGCAAATTGACATCAATGAAGCTCACTGGCGTTAAAGCCGTCCGTGAGCACATTATGCAAATGAGGGATATTGTTGCTCAATTAAAGTCCTTGAAGATAAAGATTTCTAATAATTACCTAGTGCACTTTATCCTGAACTCTCTTTCATCTCAATATAATAATTTCAAAATCTCTTATAACATACATAAAGATAAATGGTCAATTAATGAACTTTTGACCATGTGTGTTCAAAAGGAAGTAAGATTGATTCAAGAAATGAGTGAAAGTGCATATCTGGTAACAGAAAATAATAAGCAAGCCTTTAACAAGAAAGGAAAGGGAAAATCGAATGTAAGTGGCAAGTCGAATGTACCTACCTATATTGGAATGAAAAACAAATCTAAATGTTTCTTCTATAAAAGAAGGGACACATGACGAAAAATTATCCTAAAAGGAAGGTTCGGCTTGAATAGAAAGGTAATCTCATATCCTGTGTGTGTTATGAATCTAATATGGTTTATGTTTCCCATAACACTTGGTGAATTAATTCTGGTTCTACAATCCCTATTTCTAATACCGTGCAGGGTTTTCTAAACCTAAGGAAACCAATAAAGAGTGAATGCAGCATCTATTCTGGAAATCGGATGCCTTCATGTTTGGAAGCAATTGGAATGTGCAGACTAGTTTTATCAATTGATTTTGTTTTGGATTTAGAACAAACTTTTTACATTCCAAGTTTTCCTAGAACTTTAATTTCTGTTTCAAGACTTGTACCTATGGGTTTTTCCTTCAACTTTTTTGGAACATCCTTTAATTTATTTAAAAATGCAATGGTTGTTGGAAATGGTACAATGGATGATGGTTTATTCAAAATTCATTTAAATAATAGCATTCCTTATAGTTTGATGGCTTCACATGATAATGTTGGTATTAAATGTTGTGTTATGAATGAGAAAACTGCCTTGTTATGGTATCGGAGATTGAGGCATATCTCCATTGAGAGAATCAAAAGATTAGTAAACAATGAAATTTTAAAAACTCTGGACTTTACTAGGTTTGATACTTGTGTAGACTGCATTAAAGGAAAGCAGACTAACAAGACTAAGAAAGGTGCCAAGAAGAGTTTTGAAATTTTAGAAATCACACACACTGACATTTGCTACCCTAATATGTGCTCAAGTGGTCAAAAATATTTCGTCACTTTTATAGATGATTACTCACGATTTATGTATCTTTACTTGCTTTATAACAAAAATGAAGCACTGAATGCTTTTAAAATATTCAGAGGTAGAGAAACAATGTGAAAAACAAATTCAAATTGTGAGGTCAAATAGAGGTGGTGAATTCTATGGTAGGTATACAGGAACTGGACATGCACTTATTCCATTAGCTGAGTTTCTTCAAGAGCAAGGTATTATAGCTCAATACACCTTGCCTAGCTCACCATCTTAGAACAGTGTAGTAGAAAGGAGAAATTGAACATTAATGGATATGGTAAAGAGTATGCTTACTTACTCCAAACTTTCTTTATCCTTGCGGAGTGAAGCCTTTAAAACAGCAACATATATATTAAACAGGGTTCCAACTAAGGCAGTTCTTAAAACACCATTTGAATTATGGAAAGGTTGGAAATTGAGTTTAAGACATATACGCATTTAAGGTTGTCTAACTGAAGTTAGGGTTTACAATCCAAAAGAAAAGAAGTTGGACCTAAGCATTATAAGTGGATATTTTGTTAGATATGCTGAAAAGTCCAAGGGTTACAAGTTTTATTGTCTAAATCATACAAATAGATTTCTTGAATCAAGAAATGCTAAGTTTCTTGAGATAGATGTGGTTAATAGGAGTGATCAACTTAAAAACTTAGTTTTTAACGAAGATCATGTTATTAATACTACTCCTACATCAAGTAACACATTGTTTGTTCATCCAAATAGGATGGACATTGAGGAACCAATTATTCAAGCTCCATGTCCTATTGAAAATGCTTTAGGAGATCTTATTGAGCAACCACCATATTGGAACAACCTATTGAACAATAATTTCCACAAGAGGTTGTTGATACAACATTAAGAAGATCAACTAAGGCAAGAAAATCAACAATTTCTACAGATTATGTTATGCATCTACAAGAATCTGACTATGATGTTAGTGTCAAAAATGACCAGAAATGTTTTCATGATCAATGGAAAGTGATAAATCTAAATTTTGGTAGGATGCTATGAAGGATGATATGGGTTCTATGGCAAATAATCAAGTTTTGGATTTTGTTAAATTACCTAATGAGGTGAAGCCCATTGGCTGTAAATGTGTATTTAAAACCAAAAAAGAATCATTAGGCAACATTGAGAGATACAAGGCCAAACTTGTTGCCAATGGATTCTCACAAAAGGAAAGAATTAATTATCGAGAGACATTCTCTCCTGTTTCAAAAAAGAATTCTTTTCGTATCATCGTGGCATTAGTTGCTCATTTTGACTTAAATTTACATCAAATGGATGAGAAAAAGGCATTCCTCAATGGAGATTTAGAGGAAAAGGTTTATATGAAACAACTTGAAGGGTTTATTTCTAATAAAGGTGAGCACTTGGTTTGTGAGCTTAAAAAGTCCATATATGGACTGAAACAGGCCTCACGTTAGTGGTATTTGAAGTTGCAAAATGTTATCTCTTCATTTGGTTTTGTACAGAATGTTATGGATCAATGTATATACCACAAGGTTAGTGGGAGTAAGATCATCTTTCTGGTTCTATATGTATATGATATTTTGCTTGCAACCAATGATATGAGATTGCTACATGAGGTAAAACAATTTCTTTCTCGACATTTTGACATGAAAGATATGGGTGAGGCACCTTATGTCATTAGCATCAAGATTCATAAAAACATATCTCAAAGTATCCTGGGTTTATCTCAAAAGGCCTATATCAATAAGATTTTAGAGAGATTTCCTATGAAAGTTTGTTCACCTAGTGTGACACTTATTGTAAAAAGTGACAAGTTCAATTTGAACCAATGCCCCAAGAATGAACTTGAGAGGGAACAAATAAGAAACATTCCACATGCTTCAACTATTGGAAGCTTAATGTATGCTCAAGTCTATACTAGACCAGACATTACATTTGCAGTTGGAATGTTGGGAAGATATCAAAGTAATCTAGGCTTAGATTATTGAAAGGCTACAAAAAAGGTCATGAGGTACCTTCAAAGGACTAAAGATTTCATGCTTACATATAGATGATCTGACATCTTGGAAGTTGTTAGATATTCAGATTCAAACTTTGCTGGTTGTGTTTATTCTCAAAAGTCAACATCTGGATATATCTTCCTGCTTGCTGGAGGAGCTATATCTTGGAGAAGTGCAAAGCAATCTTTGGTTGCTACTTCTACCATGGAAGCTAAGTTTGTTTCTTGTTTTGAGGCTACATCACAAGGTATTTAGTTGAAGAGTTTCATCTCCTGGCTTCTAGTTGTTGAATCAATCTCTAAGCCATTGAAGTTGTATTGTGACAATTCTATTGCTGTGTTCTTTGCTAAGAATAATAAGAGTGGAAGTCAAAGTAAACACATCGACATTAAATACTTAGCCATCAAAGAGCACATTAAAGCAAATGAAGTGCTTATTGAACACATT